CTCTCACATCGACCACCTTATCACAGACCCTCCCTTGTTCTGATGTCACCCATTCTTTGCTCAAAGCCTATTATATCGCAAACTTTTCCCAGGGCTGATGAATGGTCACAGACCCTGCAATGTGATCTTGTTTTTTTCTCTTTCTGTCTCTTTGATCCTGCCTGGTTAGTTTTCTCCAAAGTTTTCTGTTCTAATTTCAGATTTCGAACATTCAGGGTAACCTGCTTTTGAGTAACCATAATCTGGTTATGATGTGGAGAAGCCGGTGTCGGAATGGGGTGGTCAAGGTCAGAAATCACACGACATCAGGTTACAGTCCAACAGGTTTCTTTGAAAACACAAGCTTTCGGAGCGCTGCCCCTTCCTCAGGTGTTAGTGAGGGAGGAGGTATCAAGACACAGAAGTATAGAGTGTGGTGAGGTCACCTGTAGTGTGACATGAACCCAAGATCCCAGTTGAGGCAGATACATTCTATTTTGTTCAAAAGGCACACAATTTGTAGACACAGTCAGTCAATGGGGCATTTTGTAAATTCCTGCTTCGGAAATAAAACCAGTCTGATTCCAGGTTAAGGCAAAGACAGATTCTAAGCAAGGCCTCACACCTAAAATGCACTGTCTGACCTGAGATGTCACCTCTTGTATACACTGATAAAACCTTTAGTTATCTCGGGGCAGCAACTTGAAAGAAATTCTGGGATTTCCATTTAAATCAATCAAAACCTGCTTCTCCTTTCCGACTGATTAAAGATTTAACAGAGGGAGTCAGCCTGCCATTTTAGGTTTATGCAATACATTCGCATCCTTTGATCTTTTTACTAATAAATTCTGTGTTTTGATATCTCTTCTCTCACTATACCTGAGGAAGGAGCAACACTCCAAAAGTTTGTGTGTTCAAATAAACCTGTTGGACTGTAACCTGTTGTCATGTGATTTTTAACCACGTCCTGGTTAGATCTGGGTTCTCCGCACGTCTGATTTTCCGCTCTGTAAATCCCTGTCTTTCAGCTTTCTATTTTCGCTCTTCATTTTCTCCGTTTTCATGGGCAGTTTCCCAGTCTTCTGAATCTCACACCCAAACCACAGTACATATTGCCATGGTCCGGCCAGGGCATAGACCATGACTGTATAATCCTTTCAGATGTTATTGGTTGGTTGTCATGTGGTCAAACATGACGTGACAAGGTGTCATGTGATCTGTGCTGCTCTCGCGGTAGAATTGTTACAGTGCGCGTGGATGTCATTTGGTTCATCATGCTCGTGCTCCTTCTATTATCGAATGCTAACTTCCTGTTTCTCCCCCTAATCTCTTCACATCATTTCTATCAAAAAAAATCAAACGGCCCTCTTGAATGCTTCAATTAAGTTTGCCTCCACCACATTTCCAGGCTGTGCATTCCATTCCCTAACAACTCGCTGTGTGAAAAAGGTTTTTTCTCTCAGCACCCTTGCTTCATTTGCACATCACTTTAAATCCATACCCTCTCATTCTTGTTTCTTTTACTCTGGGATTGAGGTGTCAGTAGCTTTTTTTCCTCAAAGAGAGGAAATCCAACATCCAGTTATTTCCTAAACAAATGAAGCCACATCTGTCCATGGTCGAAAACAGAGGAGATTTTGTGGTACAGGAATCAAACAAAGCAAACGCAAAACACGATCTTAGTAACCAATCACAAAACAGGAATACTTGTATTCCAAACAGAATAAGCAGCGAGTGATACACAAAGATAACGCGCCCTCTAAGTAGAGTTCTTTTGACCATGTTTGAACCAAGGCTGTAATGAGGTCAGGAGCTGAGTGGCCCTGGCAGAACCCAAACTGGGTGTCACTGAGCAGGTTATTTCTGAGCAGGTGCTGCTTGATAGCACTGTTAGTGACACCTTCCATCACTTTACTGATGATCGTGAATAGGCTGATGGGGCGGTAATTGGCTGTGTTGGATTTGTCCTGCTTTTTATGTACATGCCTGGGTAATTTTCCATACTGTCGGGTAGATGCCAGTGTTGTAGCTGTACTGGAAGAGCCTGGCTAGGAGAGCAGCAAGTTCTGGAGAACATGCTCCTCAGGGTGGTGTCCTAGGCCCTTCCATCCATCGTAAGGTCAGAAATGGGGATGTTCGCTGATGATTGCACAATGTGGCGACCAGACATCCTAACCTGACCTAGTCCCATTTGCCAGCATCTGGCCTATATCCCGCTAAACCCTTCCCATTCATGTATCCATCCAGATGCCTTTTAAACGCTGTCAGCGTACCCAGCTCCACCATTTCCTCAGGCAGCTCATTCCATACATGCACCACCCTCTGTGTGAAAAATTTACCCCTCAGGTCTTTTGTTAAATCTTTCCCCTCTCACCGTAAACCTATGCCCTCTAGTTTTGGACTCCCCCATCCTGGGAAAAAAAACATTGGCTATTTATCCTATCCATGCCCCTCATGATTTTATAAAACTCTATAAGGTCACCTCTCAGCCTCCGATGCTCCAGGCAACATAGCCCCAGTCTATTCAGCCTCTCCCTATAGCCCAAACCCTCCAATCCTGGCTAAGCCCTTCTATATCTTTTCTGCACCCTCTCACATTTAACAACATCCTTCGTATAGAAAGATGACCTATCCCCTCCTCCCACCTCAAGCTGCACCCCCATCTCCTAACTACTAACCTCATCTCGCCCCCTTGACCTGTCCGTCCTCCCTGGACTGACCTACTCCCTCCCTAACTCCCCACCTACACTCACCTTTACTGGCTCCATCCCCGCCTCTTTGACCTGTCTGTCTCCTCTCCACCTATCTTCTCCTTTATCCATCTTTTATCCAACTCCCCCTCTCTCCCTATTTATTTCAGAACCCCCTTCCCCTCCCCCATTTCTGATGAAGGGTCTAGGCCCGAAACGTCAGCTTTCCTGCTCCTCTGATGCTGCTTGGCCTGCTGTGTTCATCCAGCTCTACACCGTGTTATCTCGGATTCTCCAGCATCTGCAGTTCCTACTATCTCTGATAGAATTGTACGCGGTTTTCCAAAGTGGCCTCACCAAAGTCCTGCACAGCCGCAACATGACATCCCAACTCCTATACTCACTGTTACAACCAATGAAGTCAAACGTGTCAAACACTTTCTTCCCCACCCTGTCTACCATCGACTCCACTTTCAAGGCACTATTTAATGGCATGGCAATCACTGAATCCCTCATTATCAACATCCTGGGGGTTACCATTGGCCAGAAAATCAACTGGACTAGTCACATAAATACAGCAGCTACAAGAACAAGTCAGACGCTAGGAATGCTACAGCAAGTAACTCACCTCCTGCCTTCCTAAAGCCTGTCCATCACCCAGGAGTGTGATGGAATACTCCCCACTTGCCTGGATGGGTGCAGCCCCAACAACACTCAAGAAGCTTGACACCATCCAGGACAAAGCAGCCGCTTGATTGGCACTACATCCACAAGCATTCACTCCCTCCACCACCAACGCTCAGTAGCAGCAGTGTGTGCTATCTACAGGATGCACTGCAGAAATTCACCGAAGATCCTCAGACAGCACCTTCCAAATGCACGACCACTTCCATCTAGAAGGACAAGGGCAGCAGATACATGGGAACATCACCCCCTGCAATTTCCTCTACAAGTCACTCACCATCCTGACTTGGAAATATATTGCCATTCCTTCATTGTCGCTGGGTCAAAGTCCTGGAATTCCCTCCCTAATGACATTGTGGATCAACCCACAGGAGGAAGACTGCAGTGGTTCAAGAAGGCAGCTCAGCCCCACCTTCTCAAGGGGCAACTAGGGACGGGCAAGAACTACTGGCCCGGCCAGCGACACCCACATCTCATGAATGAATAACAAAAAGTTTCCTTTACCCTGTTCCTCTTTCCAGCTTTCAGATAGACTCTGCTTCAGAAACAAAATGACAGATTTTGAAAGCACAGGTTCCAACATAACTGGGCGTCTCATGGTCAGATTTCACATGGTCAAACCTTGTGGAATGCATCCAACTTTATTGATGTAAAGACACAAAAGGTTTATACCTAAAACGGTGTTGAGAGCCTGGCGTAGGACCACAAACTGAAAGTAAAGCCGATCATAGGGTTAGTATAGCACAAAGAAGGCCATTCAATCTATCAGGTGCTTGCTAGCTCTCTAAAGAACAATGTGATCAAATCCTCCTTCTGACAGACTGAAGAATAAACCTTCTTTGATCTAATTTCCTCCTGTTCTAAAATAGTTTGTTTTGGATGCCATGAAGCAGTTTGCTGGCGTGTTATTTTCTGTTCTTTCTTTGAGAAGGCAGCTGACGTTGTTTTGGTTTGTTTACTTCTCCTCTTCTTTGAAGATACAGCTCGGTGCTAAATGTATTCCTTAAGGATCACAGCAAGCCAGCAGTTATTAGTTCTGCTTTTCTCCTTTAACTCTCCAAATCAATAATAATAACCTCCGTGAGACAGTCCAACCTCAGTCAACATTAAACAAAGCCCAGCATGCCTTCTGATTTCAGTTAAGTTTAACAGTGCCAGTTTTTATTACCAAGTAATCCCATTCTTTTAGGCTTCCAGAATTGGAAATCCATATAGTCCAGATCAATGTCATTCAACAGTGTTTGGGTACGCGTTTGTTTGCTACAGATTAGCTCAGACCAGACTTCAAGGTGTTTTGGAAGCAGAATTTATTAACACTATGTATAGAATGATATTGAAGTAGGTATCTCTGCCCTCAGCTGCACTAGTTCCAACCTTCGAGCAAATTCTCTCCCATGTGACCTTTGAGGCAGACCTCAGAGGACAATCTGCATATTCCCTAAATGGTATCTCAACAAACATATCCTCACCAACTCGTTGCCTCATCCTGCCCACTAATTTACTGCTCACAACATTCTGGAAGGTCAGCTATTGTTTTTGCCATGATTCAAGGCTCAATGGCCCAGGCAAGGTACAAAACGACAACAGTCTCTGACCTCCAGTCTGACGCTGCCAAAGATTAGGTCCTGAATATTCAGAAGGTACATGATGTTCCGGAAAATTATGATGTTTGCTAAAGTTGGAGGGGTAGCACAATTAATCAAGCGTGGCATTTGTGCGATGGTCAAAGATGACTTTGGTTCAGGAGATCAGGAAGTGGAATGTAACAGAATTCATTTAAATGAACTCAAAGTTACAGTGTCCCTGGGTAGCAGAGACCACAATGTGATTGAATTTGACACCCAGTCTGAAAGAGAAAAGGTTGGATCCTTAAGCTTAAAGACGAGCAATTAAGTGGGAACGTAAGGTGAACTAATGAACTGTTATATTAGGCAAGGGGACTGATTAACAGAAACACAATTGTAAACATTAAAGAGGATACTTCACAATATTCATTTTTAAAAAAAACTAAGCAGAGGATGCACCATCCATGGTTAACTAAGGGAGTTAAGGAAAGTAGCAAATTTATGGAAAAAGCTTATAGAAGTGCCAAGAAAAGGAACAGGTCAGATTATTGGTCAGAATATAAAGAACAGTAGAGAACAATTAAAAGATTAATCAGAAGAAAGGAATTAGTGTGTGAGAGGAAGCTAGCTAGAAATGCAAAACTGGATAGCAAGAGTTTCTACAGCATTAAAATAAAAATGGAAATGGTAAGTAAAGTGAATATTGGTCATGTACAGAGTGAGAATAGGGAGTTAACAGCAGGGAATGGCAGAACAAATGAACACAGCTTTACTTCTGTATTCACTCGAGAGGATATACCAAACCATTCCAGTAATAGCTGTGAACCAGGAGGGGGAAGAAGGAGAGAGGCACTTTGTGAAATGACAAACATGAGGGAAGTGATCCTAAGCAAACTGATGGAGCTTTGGAGCGACAAGTCTTCCTATCCTGGATTCACAGTCTAATGATAATACCACTGGGCCATTGCCTCCCCCAGATCTCACACAGATATCTGAACAGGAAGATTAAAAGCAGGAATAGGCCATTCAGCCCCTTGAGTCTGCTCTGCCTTTTCATGAGATCATGGGTGATCTGACTCTTGGCTTAACTTGACTTTCCTACCTACCCTAATAACCATTGACCCTCATATGAGCCCAGAATTTGAGTAATTCTGCCCTAGAACTATTCAATTGTCCACCTCAGCTGCTCCTCTGGGGAGCAGAATTCCAGAACAAAATGCTCCTCTCCACCTTTGATCCCTAATTTTTAAATGGCATCCCCCAGTTGTGTTATCTCCCACAAGAGGAAATATCCTTTTAGGATCCACCCTGTCAACTCCCCTTGGGATCCTACACATCTTAATAAGATCATTTCTCATTCTCCTAATCTTTGTTACAGGCTCAACCTATCCAAAATTTCCTCACGAGATAACACCTCCCATTCCAGGAATCAGTCGAGCAAATTATTTCTGAGCTGCTTCTCAGGCAATTATGTGCTTTCTCAAGGAAGAAGTCTGAGATTGTACAATGTACTTCAGCAGTAGTCTCACTAACTCTATATAACTGTAACAAGGCCCTAATTTTATATTCCACTTCCCATGTAATAAATATCAACAGTCCTCCTGGTCACTTGCTGTACCTGCAAGCAAACATGTACCAGGACACCTAGATCAATCTATATTGCTGAGGTTTGAATCTCCATTGCACTAATAATTTTATCATTCTTCCTCCCAAAATGGTCATGTTCATATTTTCCCATATTATAGTCATATTTTTCCACTCCCTACCTCTGAGCTAGGTGACCTGAATTCAAGCCACACCTGCTCCAGAGCTGTGTAAGAACTTCTCTGAACAGGTTGATTAAAAGATATAGAATATACAGGATTTGGTGATGGGAATAATGACTTAAGAGTTCTGGATATATAACCAAAACTAAAGGGCACAGGTTGGACTGGTGTAAGGAAGGAGCTGTAAGACTGAGTTGTTAATAAACTTTATGCAAAAAGAAAGGCTTCTGTCTCACTGATTTGCCTGGATCTGAACTGACATTGGGGCAGAGGATAGTTGCCTAAAGATGATTGGAAACAGATTGTTCTTTTTAGGTAAATGGTTGCAATTTTGAGTTACTTTTGAGAAGAATGACTGGAACCAGATGTAAAATGTTGGGATATGGTTTCCTCCTGATGTTCAGTAAAGCTGAACCTTATGATTAATGAAAAAGTGAAGTGAATATATTGACACAGGCTAAGTCCTTACTAAAAAAGGAAATAAAAGCCTGGCCTTGGTACTTCCTACTAGAAGCGGCATCAAGCGTAAAGTATTCTCAGAACTAGAAGTTCGACAAGTGGACGCTAAGGAGGGTTTGGATATTCTGTCAACATAAGAAAGATGATGAATAAAATACATAGAGGTATGGTCAAACTTTGATGAATTTAGAAAGCAGATTGAATATTCTATGGAAGGATATATAATGGAATGCGGCAGACTATATGCAAGATGGCAGAAATTTTACTCGAAGAGTCCTAGTTCAATGTGTATCTTTAAATTTTCTGATTTTGACTTGGTGATGGCCTTAGTACAGTTATTTCAATAATCTTTATCACTTTTTGGAAATCCATGTGCACCACAGAAAGGTTCCCTTTTATCCCCATAGCACAGCACTTCCCCAAAGAACGCTAATGAATTAGTCAAAAGTAATTTCCCTTTCACAAAACCATGTTGACCCTGCCTGATTACAGCAAAATTTTTCAAATGTCCCTCTATGGCCCCCGCTTAATAATATAGTCCAACAGTTTTTCTACAACAGATGTTAAGCTAATTGGCCTACAGTTTCCTGTTTCTTGACCCCTCCTTTCTTGAGAAGAGGCGTTGCATTCCCTATTTTCCAATCTGAATGGACCTTCCTAGAATTAAGGGAATTTTGGAAAATTAAACCAATACAGCTACTATCTCAACAGCCACTTCTTTTAAGACATTAGGATGGGGTCCAACAGATCCTGGTGATATGAACTTTTTGTTTTAATAGTTTTCTTCATTGCCAGTTCCCTGGTGATTGTAATTTTTTAAGTTCTTCCCTTCTTTTACCTGATGACTTGGCGGCATTTCTGGGATGCTATACAGGCAGTCCGCGGGATATGAACGTTCTGGAGTCTGTTTACAAGTCAATATCTTCACAACTTGGAACTGAACACAGGACAATATAAAGCAGCTGTTTGCAAGCACAGGAGATGTCTGTATGTTGGGTCTTTAAAAATACACCCCTGCACAGGATTGTGTTCATGAGTACAAGAGTTCCTAAGTCAGATGTTCATAAATCAATGCACTGTCTACATATCACTCAGAGATAGTGAGAACTGCCGATGCTGGAGTCAGAGATAACACAGTGAGGAGCTGGATGAACACAGCAGGCCAGGCGGCATCAGAGGAGCAGGAAAGTTGACGTTTCGGGTCTGGACCTTTCCTCAGAAATGGGGCCCATTTCTGAGGAAGGGTCTCGCATTTCTGAAGAAGGGTCCCGACCGGAAAAGTCAACTTTCCTGCTCCTCTGATGCTGCCTGACCTGGTGTTTCCTCCAGCTCCACACTGTGCTACCCCCTATATATACCTTTTTCAGTGAAGACATACACTAAATACTTGTTCGATATTTCTGCTGTTTCTTTTTTAACCCCATCATTAATTCCCGAGACTTACTCTCCGAATGATTCAGCAACCAGTTGTGCACAGTAAGCTCCCACAAACTTACAGAATGATAAGGACCAAATCATCTATTTTAGTGATAGTGGTAGTAACATTCTGGGATACACTCGGGTTCTTCTTCTGTGTCTGTCTTTTGATACAACTGCTTTAGTTTTTCATCTTTCTGTCGTAATTCGGCTCATTTCTCTGTGCTAAAAATATTCACTTTGTCCTGCACCTGTTCTTGTTTTTCTCCCCAACCATTTGATCGAACATGGTCTCTGATAATTGTACTCCAACTGCCTCATCTTTACTGTTTGATTTCTCCTCCTGCTTCTACCTGTGGCTTTGTGACCTGGTTACCGCACAGTAGGGAAGATTCTCGGGATATACTTCCTGTAACACTTCAGTTGCTTGATTTTCCACTGGCTTTTCAACCAAAGTAGGCGTCACTCCAAACTGTGATCCAGCTGTATCATTACCAAGAATAAACTGTATGTCCAGAACTGAGAATTTCTCTATTACTCCTACCACCACTTCACCATTTTTCACAGGACTCTCCAATCTGTCTTTGTGTAATGGAACACTGTTCTTCTCACTATGAGTTCCACATATTGCCACCTTTTCTGGAAAATACTCCTTCTGAATTACATATCTCCTCATCTGTTGGGGCAGCCCCTGGTCAGAAGTGGCACGAAATGGCTGCCAGTTGGTATAACAATGGGTGCAAAAACAGAATTAGCTTGCCTGGTCCAGCATTAGAGTGAGGTCATAAGCTAAGCACAGTGGTAGCTTTGAGAAAGATGTATCCCGAGGTAACATGGTCCATTTTGAACAAAGAATTTTAGAACTTAATATACAGAGGGTTCTGTAAAAACAGCAGCTGCAGATGTCTGTAAAGGACATATAAGAGATATCGGGAACAGACAGCCTGAGGTTTGTAGCAAGTATTAAAAAGAAAAGTATAATCTCGCAATAACAGAGACTAATCATTAGGATGAGATTACGTTTTGTGAAAACCTAGGAGATCAGAAACGTTCATTGAGCTGTGAAAGTGATTGAGGTTTACTCTTATAAATTAAAGAGATGTTGTCTTGCTAAGTAAAGGTGTAGAACATTCACAGTCAGTAAATTTCATTTTAAAAGACAGAATGTGACTAGAATGAGTTATAATGCAGCTGCAAAATAGACGGTCAATGCCTACCAGACTCTCCAACATCAGGTGGAACCGAAACTGCTGAAAACTATAGAACGCTAACAGCACGTGTAACCATAAAACTTTACATATAACTAACTTTATGTTCAAACTAATATTATGAATCTTATAGCCATAGCAAGAACTAACCTCCTTTAGTATCCCCTGTGATTGGGACAGTGGGAAATATAAGATGAGTAACAGAAGTTAAGAGGGATGAATGTAGTGAATACAATGAATGACAGAACTCGAGCAGTGCTTTAAGCCAGCAAGTCTGGGAAATATCTGAAGGAGATTATAATTAATGGGATACATTGTAAGATCCCAAGACCTGAAGTTAACAAAGTC